TATATATATATATATATATATATATATGTGTGTGTATATATATGTATATGTATTTAAAAAAAAGATTTATGGTCTAATCTTTATTCCTGTCCTCATCTATGAGGTGGAGCTGTGTATTGTGACCAAATGGCTGCAGTTTCAGATACAGGTGGTGGAAATGATCTTCCTCTAAAAGGCGTCTGGGCTCAGCCTTAGGGCAGTAGGATGGGGAGATTAGTAATTCAAGAAGAGCTCAGAGTTGCAGTGCTGGTACTCCACAATGAAAGGAGCAAGTTGAATTCAGCATCTGACCAGGATGCCTCATTGAAGCCTCCTAGTTGAGGCTCAGAAGAGAGATTTTGTCTCTTGGCTTGTCTGGAAACACCTCCGTGTCCTCCAGAAGAACTAGAGGCGAAGGCTTTTTGCCTCATTAGTAAACCATTAGTAAATCTGGCCATGTGTCTCTCAGCTAAAGGCTAGAGAGAAGGAAGTTGGTGCATCTGTGCAACCCAGACCTGGATAAGAAAATGGAAGGATAAATGAAGAAAATAGAAACTGTGATTAAAACAGGTTTTCCATCTGCAGGTACATCACTTCAATAGAGACGGGAAGTCAGCCAGTGACTGATATCTTCCACTTTGTTGTTTATGATGGAGACAACAATCGCCTTGACAACCAGATATGTACCATCACCATCACCTCCGCACCAAGACAGCCGCCGTTGGTCACTGTCCGCAGCAGCATCAAGGTACGCACACGCTATGTCCTGCATACAAATGTGCAAGTAAGAATCTTACACACTTAACGGAGGTGCACACAGCAGGCCAGCTGAAACAATATTTACCTTTAGTCAGAAGAACATCTTAAGTACAGCATCAAATCATATTTAATGTACCTGTTTTATATTGAGACAAAAGAAGCGAGGGACTCCTGTCACATGAACTCCATCAGATCGCTTGAGGGTCTTTGTTTAAAAAATAGCTCCAAATTGAAAGTTGCGTTGATGTCTGCTGGATTTCCTTCATCAACATGTAGCAAATGGCATTTACGTACCATGATGTTTGAGTATTGTCCTCTGTGAGTGGGAATAACAGATACGTACTCCTCTACTTCTGCTTGCTTTGTTCTGTCCTGCTGAGCTAACTGGACATTCAAGTCCACAAACTACAGGCTCATGGATAAGGGTAAAGGTATGCACTGTCACAGTCCAGGGGCTAATACAAATGCAGCAGAATATGGCATCAGCATGCTTTTATATTTAACACATTCTCCCCTGTGTATGTGTGTGGACATTTGTCAGTCTCATTGTGTTACACTAAAGAAATGTGCACTTCCTGTCTTTCACTGCAAGATAACAATACGATAAGAGAAAGAGCTTTGCATCTGCAGGCTCTACCTGGGATATGATGTCCCTCCACAAATTCCACCCTTCATCAAGGATACGAAGTCAAATCTCGCCCCAAGAAATGTCTCGTTCTTGGATCTATTTATTTCATGGCTGTGTGGGGAGAAATTTTCTGGGTCAGCCAATACATCTCAAAGTGGGACCTCTTCTGTGGGTTCACAGCTTGTCTTGTTTCTGGGTAAATTAAAAGAATACAATAAAGGTAGAAAAGAGGAAAAGCCTCACGGAGCACTAAATAATTTAACATCTACTGTCTACTCATCCTTCAAGGGTCTTGTAAAGATTTGAATTCCCAGTTTTTGTGAGTTTTTAATCATGTTCAAATGCAGAAAAGGGATTTGTTTTTCTGGAGTTGAGATTCTGATTTTTTTTATGAGCCCACTCTGAGTTTTCTCAGAGCTTTAAATATATAATATGATTAAAATATTAAACAGACTATATTGTAGTAACTATACTTTAGACTCAAGTGAGAAAACTAGGATCTCCCAATTAAATAATTTATTTTTGCTTATTATCCATGTCTAGGTCGAGGAAGGCGGTCGCGTGCAGCTGTCTACCAATGACATTACAGTGTCAGATGTGGACACGCCCCCGAAGGACCTGCTGATTTGGCTTGTCAGCCCTCCTAAATATGGTTTTATTGAGAACACCAGGACAGGTGAGAAGTGCCTGTGTGACGGTATGCAGATATTTTGGAGTGTGGTCACTGTTGCAGGAAGCTGAATTGACTTTGGCTCATGATGTGACAAACTGCAACTGTTACTCTGAATAATTTTCACATTTCAATTTGCGTCACATTCCTGTGCACACAATGCCGGGTGAATTCCCCGCGGTACCAGTGCCATCTGTCTCGGCTTGATTGTGCTGTGGATTAGAGCCGCCAGATAGCCAGGTACAGATGGGGCAATTGTTGAAGTTTCACAATGTTGAGGCTCACTCAACTACTGCTGCTCTTTCTTCTGCTCCCGAGAGGAAGCGCTTGGAAAAATGAAAAAGGTGACAAGAGTTGAAGAGGAACTGATTCCCTCTGGGGAAACGGTAACATTGCAAGTGCAGAAGCTGAAACAACATGAAATGAAATAGATATAATCACAGTAGGAAGAAAAGTCATATTGAGAATGAATAAAGAAAATGGTATATCTGGCTGTAATTGTAATTTTGGTCTATATATAAAAATAGACAGAGCGGTGATGTCAGCCACTGGATTGTGAAGCCTCGTTTTTAGTATTTTGGCTGTTACCATTTTGTTTTTGGCTTTCTTCTTTTTTCAGCCAGAAGAAATCATGCTTGTATGCAGATGTGACATTATGAGCCCACATTAGCAAGAACGGGTTGTAATCAAAGCTGGGCGTAGCTTAGGGAAAAGTGCATCTTATGCTTTCTTCTCTTTCTGATGGCCAAGGTGACTTCTCTGGTTGCAAAGGCAATTATGGATGTAAGGAAGTTGGCTGCTTTAATCCAAACTCTCAGTAAACATTTTCCTGATGAGCGTATGGTCTCAGTCTCTAGTTTTAGAATGATGTTTATTTTATAAAATATGGTTCCGATTAGTGTCCAAAAACATGATACAGCAGGGTGGGACTACCTTGTGATTTAAAAGTTATTATACGATCTGACCTACACGCCTCAGTCACCCAGGCTTAGAGACAGATTGGCAACCCCCTGGCAATATCTGGTCACTAGGGAGAAATATGCATTTCCTGAGCAATCAGTCTTACTGCTTCAACCAACATGTTTCAAAAGGTACAACTTTAGTGTTGAAGGGGAATATTCTGTGTTTCTGAAGCCTTAACAAGCACATCCTCAGACTATTTGGGTCCTTTAAATAAAAGATGATCTATTGGTTTGGGACATATTTTAATATTTAAATTATTAAAGTTAAATTATAGCTGACACTATCAACCCTGCTCATTATGCCCACATGCAGCACGGTGGTTAGCACTGTTGCCTCACAGCAAGAAGGTCCTGAATTCAATTCCACCAGGGTCTTTCTTTGTGGAGTTTGCATGTTCTCCTCGTGTTTGTGTGGGTTCTCCCCGGGCACTCCAGCTTCCTCCCACAGTCCAAAGACATGGAGTTAGTGGGGATAGGTTAATTGGAAACTCTAAATTACCCATGTCTTTGTCTATGTGTTAGTCCTGCGACAGTCCAGGGTGTCCCAAGACAGCTGGGATAGTCTCCAGCCCCCCTGTGACCCTGAAAAGAATAAGCGGAAGTGAATGGATGGGAATGGACTATCAACCTTGGTTAGAGAGCTGCATTCATGTGCTGTGTGACACGGTTGCTGTTTATCTTTGACAGACTCAATGAAAGCATCTGGAGTTGGATGATCTGCATCATTCAGGATATTGAATGCATGCAAAACCCGCAGTAAATGACCTGAATACTGCAATGCATTTAGAAAACATGGATTTACTCCATGGGATACACAGAATAAGGCAGTGAGTGAAAACTCCAAATCCATGAGGAAACCTTTGTAAAAATAAAATCTCATTAAAACCAGTAAATCGTATCATATTGTTGGTCAGATTTTAGCAGTTAAGAGCAGAAATCATCATACTGATCTGCATATGTAAAGAAACTGTTCATTTTTAATGGGTGTGCAGCCATAGTTGTAATAATAATAAGATAATTGGGGCGATCGTGGCTCAAGAGTTGGGAGTTCGCCTTGTAATCGGAAGGTTGCCGGTTCGAGCCCCGGCTTGGACAGTCTCGGTCGTTGTGTCCTTGGGCGAGACACTTCACCCGTTGCCTACTGGTGGTGGTCAGAGGGCCCGGTGGCGCCAGTGTCCGGCAGCCTCGCCTCTGTCAGTGCGCCCCAGGGCGGCTGTGGCTATAATGTAGCTGCCATCACCAGTGTGTGAATGACTGGATGTGTAAAGCGCTTTGGGGTCCTTAGGGACTAGTAAAGCGCCTATATAAATACAGGCCATTTACCTTTTATTTATTTACCATAATTGGCCTTCTCTATTATACATTGTCTGCAGACATAATGAAGGATAAATTTGTGAGGTCAGATATTTATAGTGTCTGCAGCTGTAGATAACCAGCTGGCACCAATCTTTTCTCTCCGTGTCCCGGCGGCCCGTCCTTGATGGCAGCTGGAGTCGTTGGTATTCAGCAGCATCAGCCAGCGGTGCCGGGTGATGGGATTTCTGCTGTCACCGGGGCACAGGGGAGGCCAGTCAGTGTCACCGTCAGTGTGCCGGCAACAAAACCAACATGCACAGGTTTTTTTAATGTTGATATGCAGATGCACCATCGCACAAAAGACACTGACTTGCATGCTGATGTTGTGCATTTGCATGAATCCAGCAATTCAAAACATGCACATGGAAAAAACAAAAATCTCACACATAGGCAGTGTTTATGCAGGAAATGGCTTTTCCCTTAACAAAATACATAATAGTTTGGTGATTAGCACAGAGGAAGGCACACGTACTGCAATGCAGTATAGACATTTTCCAATTTGAATTTAAATAATTACTTTAATATAAAGCTGACATGGAAGGAATACGGCCAATCTCATTTTGGCCCCTGAGGTCCTAGAGTAAGTAAACAACTCCCAGCCCATCTTTGTCACTCCCCATCTGTTTACATGCCGCTTTGTCTCCTTGTGTTAGTCTTTCTCTGTAGATGTCAGGAGAGGAAATGGAAAGAGACAAAAGTGACTCCCTTCCTGGTTCTGTCGGTGGTTTCTTCCTTTCTTTTTGCCCACCATCACCAGTTGCTGTTCGTAGCAGATTGTCTGATTGTTGGCCTTTTCTGTCTAAAATTATAGTACAGCTGGTTTGGGAATGCCTCCGTGTTCCAGCCCCAGTTGCTCCCCCTGTGTAAGACTCAGATAAGTGGCAGAAAACGGATGGATTATTCTGATTACTCACTCCCATGATTATTTAAACTCCTTAGATCAGCGGGCCCCAACCCCCGGGCCACGGACCGGTACCGGGCCGAGAGAGTTGAGGCTCGGGTGTGAAATTTGTGGTTTTCAATGTTTTTATCGTCTCCTGTGTCTTATTTTGAAAGAAATATTTACCACCATAGTTACCATAGCAACCAGAGAGCATTAAGGGCAGAGAGGAGGATGTTACTCTTAATGTTGTCGGCGCATTTCAGGAGGACGCTGCTAATAAAGTTACACAATTACACAGTGAAATCGCGTTTATTATCATATTTACAAAATACATATCTCACGCATTCAGATATCGGTAAGGTCCAAGGTAGGGCACACCTGCTTACACTTACAGGTGCGCTGGCACTGGCAGCCGCTCTGAGTTGAACTAGACCTGAACTATCTGTGGTGTTGGTGCCCATTGGGCCATTTTATCTGTGTAATACTACAATCTGCTGTGTAGTACAACCGGATACCTGTAAACGAGATAGGAACCATAAACTGCCGTGTGCATGACCCATTTTCTTATTTTCATCATTGAACAAGAGTAAATGCCCCACATCATCTAGGATGGTTCATAATCGTGCTTTTATGAGTCCAGCATTAAGAGAGAAGTAGGGATGGAATATAGTAATTCAGATCCTATTAGTGTAGAATCATCTGTAACTATAATTAATCCTAAAATAAAATTAATGAAATTTAATAAAAAAAACAATTCTGGGATTAATATTCCAGCCTGCTAACTCTCTGCATCACGTTCCTGAACAACTGGATCTGTTTTCAACCCACATTCCTTTTCAGAGCCTTGTTCAGTCGGCGATGCACAGAGATGTCAGTGGCGTGATTGCAGGAGTGCTGCTGTGAATCTGAGATCAGCAGACGCCACGTGTGAGAACAGAACAACCAAAAAAAATGATTCTGGAAAAATTGTAATTCCCCGGTGGCTTCAGGTGATTTCCTGTTTTGATTACACTTCTGTGAGGGTTCCCGCTCAGATAAGAGACTCCCGATGCTCACCGTAAAACAGGCAGATGAGGCGATGTGATGCGATTTTCTGTTGGGCCTGATTTACACGCATACACTAAAGTAAATACAAGTACACACACACCAGCTATTCCCTCCAGAGCCCTGACTCAGCTCAGTGCGGAGTCATCCGTCTTCTGCAAGAAAGACACTCATACTTTCTCTCAAACTTCAGAGATTTCAAGGTTGATGTTAAGTATTCAAGGCGACTCTCCTTCAACCTGAGGACAGCCAGGTCGTGTCATCACAGCCAAAGTGTGCTTTTCTGGAGAATTGTAAAGACCGTCCATGCATCTAAACTACCAGACAGTTCCGGCTGAAGTCAAATGAAAAGCCTGATGGGACGGAGAAGACAAATATTGCTGTCATTGGAGCTGTCAGAGGATATAAGTGATGGCCTGCTAACTGGTCACCTGAGAGGTTTATGAGTTCTTTGTTGCAGTATAATAAATGTTCCAGTGTAGAAATGGCTTTTTTCAGCGTGTAGCCACAACCGGACGACGCGACAAATCATCATTTTTACACTAAAAGAAAGAATTTAATAAAAAATTAGATTGATTTAATGAATAAAATGATTTTGTGCACTTTGAATTTGAATCAGAATCAGAAAGACTTTATTTATCTCCAAGGGGCAATTAACATACAACAGAGCAGCATAACGTTGAAGATAAGAACAATACGAACAGGCAATAAGAGTGAGATAATAAATACACAGAATATACTGTATATACAGTTTAAAATTACACAGTTTAAAATTAAAGTGACTGAGAGGTGAATAAATAACTGTAAGTGACTAAGAGTGAATAAAGTGTCGGTAGTATAAAAAGAGAATCAGAATACTTTATTAATCCCGAAGGAAATTTATGTTTCTGGTGCAGGAAATGGTCTTATCTGCTGGAGTTACAAAGCAGAGTGGCTTTGGGGACAAAGGTGGCTCTCCTGTGCTCTTTGTTTTCTAAATTGCATCTCTTCCTCTGTTCTCTCGTCAATCAGGAAGCTCTGTTGGCGGCTCACATGTCGTCACCCCTGACGTGCCTTTCTCTGTGGAGGACCTTACATCTGGCCATATCTCTTACGTCCAGGAGAGCCAGCTTAAACCTCAAACCAAGCAGGACATCTTCAGCGTCTACATCAGCGACGGGCTCAGTCAGACGGAAGCTTTCAGTGTGGAAATTGACATCCAGGTAAGGAAAAACTAAAAAGCTACTACTACTAAATCTTGTAGTACTATCATTATAAGTGACATTGATTAATGTATAATTAAGAATGTATTTCAAAATAAAGGAAGTTTGTTTTTCTTTGAAGATTTTGTTTCAACTCTCTTAATTTTTGAAGGTGTTTGTGTTAAATATACCGTTGCACTTTCCTTCATTTCTATGGCAGAAGTAACCACAATGACACAACGCCTTGGTTTGAGAAGCCCCATTTTGCAGTCTTAAGGCATTACTATTTTGTTTGTGTTATTTTTAGCCAAATGTGATGAAGAAGAGGGAGGACAGTTATCAGTTAGCTAGGTTAGCACAGAAATGGTTTTCTTTCTCAGCAAAATTCATTTCTAACCACAGACGTTGCTGCTTAAATAAATAAAAAACTAACTATATCCTTATTGCGTCCATGGGAATTAACAGGGTAAGTCATAGTCAAGTGCTGGTAATCAAATGCACTCGGTTAATTGATCATCAGCAAGTGTGAGCGCCTCTATAATGGTGGATATTTTGGCAGTTTGATGGTCTGTAGGTGTGTTTAGGAGGAAAGACATCAGCTTATGAATCTAGGAAGAGTTTTAAGGCCATTCCCAAACGTTTCACAAGTAAACAATTGTCAGGAGTGGATATTCCAACAAATTCACCCATATGCTCAGAAATTACAAGAAACTGAGAGCTCAATCTTACACAAATGTTTAAGTTTATGACAGTGTTAAAGTTTACACTCTCAGAAAGACTGAACAAGAATGGCTTACTAGAAATGTTAGCAGGAAAAAGCATTTTCTCTCTAAAAAGACCATCCTGGCATCACGGTTCAGGTTTGCAAAGTTGCATCTGGACGAACCACAAAATCCTTTGATCAGGGGAGACCAGAGCGGAGATGTTTGACCATGATGCACTGCACCACGAGTGAAAACCATCGCAGCATATGAGCACAAAGACCTCTTACCAACTGTCAGCTCAGTGGTGGACGGACGATAACTTGGGCTCGTTTTGGACCCAGAGGACCCTGGACATTGAGTCAGCCGTGAATACATTTGTATACCAAAGTATTTTAGAGTCAAATGTCAGGTCATCTGACTGCTGACAGCTAAAGTTTGGCTTAAAATGACTCGTCTAACATGCCAATAATTTCAAGCACGCCTTTAAAAGCTATTGAATCGTGGTATGTACTTAGTTTTTCACAGGACTGCATAATATTCTAGGTCTGAGGTAAAGTTCACGTCCTGTCTGTCAGTTTCAAACTATTGTTTTATAAGTAACACATTTTTCAGTCTTATGCCTGTAATGCTTCATTTTGGAAACTGTTGCACTTCACCCTGTACCCCCATCAGTCCAAATCACCAAGTTTAATTAGTTTCAGTTAGATAAGTCGCCCCTGTTGATGCTTTCGTTTCTTCAAAAGAAGACGATAAAAGCTTGAAAAAGACCAAAAACACTTTTTAAAAATTGAAGCTGGTGCACACCCATAAAAGTTTGAGCTGATTAAGTGGTGTCTGTGCTGATGAAAAGAGATGAAACGAGGTCTTAACAGCTCCACGCTCTATTAGTAATTTAAAAAAAAAAAAAAGAGGTCTTACTCAGCTTTTGTTTTTCTTTTTTACTGCTGTCCTTGAGCAGCACAAGGCTTCCTCCAAGGAAAAACTGCTATGGCCTCAGGCTGTCCCTGTTTTTTTCTCCTTCATAAACACATAAACAAACTGAGCATCCAAATCCATCACTTAAGCCTGTTTTAGGTCTTGAGTTGGATTGATGGGGTTGTCAGTGAGCTGTTAAGTTTGTTGAGTGTGTGTATTTGAACACGTGACCTGTACATAATAAATCTTTCACGGTGTGTATTAATGTAGAGGTGGTAGTATACAACCCCTGGCAAAAAATATGAAATCCCCACACCAGGAGGACTGCTTCTGCTTTATTACTTTGTTGGCAATAACAAACCACTGATATGTCACAAAACCATTATATTTAACACCTGAACATTGTGGCTTTGTGAAACAAACCAAACAGAACCACATTGTAATCTGCATTTATAAGACAAAAATCTGAATATGCCAACGAGTCTGCAGTTAAGGGAAAGCCTGCAGACACACCACTTGGCTGACTGAAGGAAAACATCTCCCCAACAAGGGACCTGAAAAGATTATACATCTCTGGTGAAATATGCTGGTTATTCCTGGTCGCCTGTGTCTAAATTTTTGAGCGAATACAAGCAAAATGTTTGAGTAGACCTTGGAAGATGTCAAAGCATCAGGACAGAAACCAAAAATTGGACCACATCACAAATAAAAATAAAATCAGCAGGAACAGGAGTAATCTGCCATTACTTAAAATAATTTAACAGAAATTGTTTGAGATCTGCTTTGTGAAGCTGGTGTTCTGTTGGTGAGGAACAGTGTAGTTATTCCACAAATATTAAAAGATGTCTTTATTGACTTTGTGGTTATAAAGGTGGGGGTGATCGCAGCGGCTCGAGTTATTCTCAGTGTATGGAAGGAACCGTCTCCTCCAGAATATAATAGGTGGAAAGAAACTATGCTGAAAATGGTGTCGTATGAAAAACTCTTGGCTAGGATTAATGATGATAGGGAGGGTTTTGACAAATCGTGGGGACGTGTTTTTGGCTGAGATGGTTGGAACTTATTTGGTCAGGGCAATTATCTTTAGTCATGTTGTACGCTTGCTGCACTGTTTGTTTGTGTAGGCACTCAGTAAGGGAATGACTTAAAGATTTGAGTTAACTGATTTGAGGTTTTTTTTTGTTTGTTTTTTTTGTTTTTGTTTTTGTTTTTTTATTATATTTTATTTTGGGTTTTTTTTCTGTTGTTGTTTGTTGGTTGTTTTGTTTGTTTTAGTGTTGTGAAATGTTAAAAACAAATAAAGACTTCAATTATAAAAAAAAAAAAAAAGATGTCTTTATTTTATTGTCTTTCAGCAGAGTAAAGAGGACAAAGAGCCGGTGGTGTCCGTCAGCAGCATCCATATAGAGGAAAACTCTGGAGTTGTCATCACCAACTCATCTCTCAGCGTCCACGATCAGGACACACCAGAGAACGAGATCCTCTTCACTATTATCAGAATTCCCAGCTATGGTGAGCACAGACTGCATTGGCCTGTAAAGGCTGTCCTTCAACTGCACCTTTCATTGTTAAGTCTGTCTATCAGAATTCATTTTAAAGCAGCAGATTACTTTCAGCTTACTAAAAACTATTTCTTTCTGTCTATAAGTAATAACCTGTTATTATAATCTACTTTTAGCTGCTGCTCAGTTTACTATCTGTTAATAACTTAGTGCATTTGTCTAGCAGTTAGCTAACAGTTTTCCTTTGCTAATTCATACTACTAGTTAATAAACTTAAATTTTATTGTTTTAATTATTAGGCAATTTAACTGATAGGTCTCGATTTAGAAAATGTACACAATCTTCTTCATAGCCTTAGCTAGCTTTATTGCAATTATTTATCCATTATTTTCAGCTAAAAGCTTGATTTGATTATTGACATGTAGCTAGCTGCTAACGTAGCTAACAGCTGAAGTGATTTATAGCTTTAGCAAGTTTTTTGGCTAAAACTGAGTTCATCTATATAAACTTGACATTTTTATTGCTTTTTGCACTCTATTATAGAGTGCTCTTGACTCACCCTTCATTTCTTTGTTTTGCTTCCAAGGAGCAAGATTTTCTTGTATTTTTAAGTGGACTTGAACGGTACTTCTCTGGGCTTCCTAGTGGTTTTTCAAAGTTTTTTGGGGTTTTTTTTGCCATTGGCTGTTTCTTCACTCATTTTCAGTACAGTCCTATTACCTGGCTGTTTTCAGAGGACTGTCTACACATAACAGAGAATTTAGCAAAGAACCAATTTTAAATTGTATCCTTAGAAATCGAAGGTTTTGGTTCAATTCATCTTCGGGACGTACGGAGGAGGCGAGAGGTACAACAGTGACTGTCTACATCTGTCCAGCTCTTTAATGGTTCAGAGCTGCATTTCAGCCAGTGATGTTGGGGATTTTATCAAAATTGGTGGGATTATGAACCCAGAAAAGTGCAATTAAAACAGTCCCTTTGATCTCAGAATCAGAATACTTTATTAATCCCTGAGGAAATTATGCAATTTTACTGTTACTTAGATAAACAAACAGATGCTTTTGAGATACGTTTAGTTATTCTTCCTCTTAAAGTCCATTTGCTTATTCACCAGTTCATATGGCATCATATATGTTTTTCAAATATGAAAGCAACAGAGACGCTTCAAAAACAGAATTATGTGTTAACACAGCAGCAACCCAGCAGGTAAACATGGAAAAAATATGCAGTGATGTGCAGTCAGTATATTAAAATATCTCACATACTTTAGATCTGCACACACACAAAACCTAACACAGAGCTCAGGAGAGAGTTATGTTAAGAGGTACCTGGCATGTTGATAGTAAATAGTTCTGGACGTGATAGAGATGAACAGACACACACAGAGTCATAAACACATTACTCTTATTTCCGACACCCAAACAGTTTAAAACAAGACAAACACAGCGGCCGCCCGCTGCAGCGCTGCATTCTGACTGCAGCCATTCCTCACATGACACAGCGACACAAACTCAAATCAACTGACCTCCAAACACTTTGTTTTTCTGACGCCCTCTCACCGTCCCAAATTGAATTTTCTCTCCGCCTGCCACAGTCTGGTAGACCAAAAGAAATTGCTCCACGAAAAACACATTTTTTTAAGACAAGTATACAGCACTTATTCACAGCAAAAATGTCTTTTAACCCAATTTTAGCAAAGTTTACAAAGTCGTGAAAGATGGCGGAATATAAACCCTGTTTCACAGGATCTCATTTGTTCATTACATGTTACAATTTTTATTTTAACGCCATAATGACCCAAAACTTAAAGGTATTCTCTCTAACTGACTGTTCTGTATTTAAGGATTTAAGGAGCTTTGTTAATGCAAAGGCAATCTCCGACTGACACTTCTGAATTCCTGGTCTTGATCATGCAAATTAGTCGTATGGATTAGATGTCCATTTGATACTAACTCGATGCTCAACTATCACCCCTCCCATACCCCTCACCCACCCCCACAGACACCTGGTCTGGGACATTCCTCCCCCCCCTCCCACTCAGTTAAAGCACCATAAAGCAGCTGGTGAAACCAAGCGTGCCTCCGCCATAAAACCACCGGCGTGAACGGTTGATGGGACAGAGCGGGAGATGAGTGATTTCAGACGTGTCGATGACTCCCAGTCAGCTCGTCTTTTTAACTGGCCACCTCTCCACTGTCCACACACACACACACACACACCCCTACAACGATCTATTTATCTTAGAGGAAGTATGAGAGACCCCTTCAAGCCTAATAAAGACGCCAGGTTGCAGCAACACTCCAGCAAATGTGCACGCACTTGTAGACCTTGTGCTGTCGAAGCAGTCTAAGGCCAAGAGATATTTCTAAATGCACATAATTTTCAGGTAATTAGTGCCAAACAGTCTCAAACTCTATGAATTAATCTTTATGCAAATAACATGGGGATACCCCAACGATGGATTTGCACTGACAAAATAAAAGATTCATTTAAAAAAAAGGCAAAATATAGAAAATCCAGTGAAAATAAATACTGCAGGGCAATAGATAATAAATTGACTTCAAGCTCTGAAAATATTTGGAGAGGAAAATATTTTCATAGGTTTAATATGCAAAACATTTTTTCATTTTTTACACAGCATTCCAACATTTTTTGGAAATTGGGGTTGTATTTGATTTAATTAATGATTTTTTAAATCCTGCATAGAAGATTGGTGGAAGTGTTTGATTTGTACATCTTCTGCTTTTAAACAGTGCGGAAACGTTTCACTGCAGACGTTTAAAAAAAAGAAGAAGAAGAGGGAATGTGTGGGAGGGAATAAATGAGGGTGTACGTCTGTGTGTCCCCTCTTCACGCTGCAGGATTTGGACTTAAATCCTATTTAAACCTGGGCTTTGATTTAAGAAGCAGGGTAATTTAGAGGAATCTAAAATGTCTCATTAGGTTCTACAAAGAGCTTTCTTGTCTTTCATGTGCTGCATGAAAAACTCAAACATCCTCCATTTGACTTAGATAATCAGAGCAATTAAAAAGATGTACTTATTCAGTTACAACTCCCCCACTTACACCCACTTGACAAGCTTGGTTTATTTTTTATTCCCCTAGGCAAGCTCCGCAGGCGGCAGTTCTACTCCCAGCCACTGGAGAACGGTCGCGTCCTAACGCAGGGCTCCACCTTCACCTATCAGGATGTGGTGGATCAGCTGCTGGTTTACACGCCTGAAACTGTCAGCGGGGGAGCAGACGAGATGGCCTTTACCCTCACCGATGGCATTCACACCCACACGGGCCGCCTGGAGTTCACGATGGACGTCACGAGGAGCGAGGGACCTCGAATGACCGTCAACAGAGGACTGCAGCTTCCAGCAGGTGAGAGTCAAGAAATGCAGTAATAAACGATATGTCTGTGTTTAATGAGATGTTGACTCATCTCAGGTTAAACCAGACGCCCGGGGACACCAGTCAGAATACTTTTACAATCATAAATAAACTCAGTAGTTTTTCTTTTCATGCTTATAGCCTCTTGTTTTTCTCTTCTTCCTCCTAAATCAGTTTGTTCATAGTTCCCCTGCTTAGAGTGAGAAACTACGTTAAAATAGTGTTGTTTTTATTAAAACAAACCCTCAGCTGATTAGTAATTATTCACATGAATGTATTATGATACGCTGTAGTGCCCCATTTTTAATATTTTCCACTTTTTTCTTCCTATTTTATTTGTTATGTCCAGCTTTTCGTGTGTGGGGAAATATTTGGGGTTTTTTTATGGGTTATTAAAAGACAAATTAAGGCCTTGTTAAGGTTTTTGTTTCAAGAGTATTTCTCAGTCTCTGCAAGTGAGTTTAAGCAGCTCTTGTATTTTCAGTCGGAAAAAAAAAGAATCCAATCAAATAAATAAAGTCATCAAATAAATGTAAAGTAAAATCTGATCACTGACATTTCTGTACTTTTTCAGGGTCATCATCTAAGATCACAGAGCAGAATCTGAAAGGTACTGACATCGACTCAGACCACCTGAAGCTCCGGTACATCTTGACCAAAGACCCCCCAGTCGGCAAGCTGCAGCTCAACAGGAGCAGCCGAGCAGAGAGAGTTTCTGTGAGAGGTCCCATTCAGAGCTTCACTCAGGAGGACGTCAACAAAGGTGCCAGCTTTAGTTTTTATTGCTGTAACTTTGCACAGATGTCCCACAGTTTTCGGTCTTTGCTTTATCTTAGACTGTATATAAAAGATGGATGTCACCTCTAGGTTTGGAACGACTGCTTTAATCCTGCGTTTTTCCCAGTGACCAGCAGGAACCAGCAGATAAAGTGACATGATGTCTTTTGCAGGCCAACGTGGAAGTTAGCAACATATAAGGATATCGTATCAGCAAAAGAAACACGTCAGGCTACAGATGAAGTAAAACTCCTGCATTTGCTGCGATGATGTTGCCTGTTACAACAATTTCTGTAATTTAGCAATTTGTTAGCAAATTACTTAAAATGTTTTATGTTGTAGAACATAAAGTAAAAGTATCAAAGCCACTGTTATAGCCCATATTTTAAGCATCTAACCAAATGCTCATCTCCTTTGTGACAAAGGTGGTCTTGACCTGTAGTTTAAAGATTGAATGAATACAACATTATAAATTATGGGCCCTTTAATAGATTATAAAACGGGATATGCTTTCACACTTTCAGCTCAGGCGTCCGGGTCATGGTAGACTAAAGCTCTTGAGTCGAATGCAGCTGGACTGATAAATGTTGGTATGGTGTGCAGTGCTGTGAAGAGTGCTTGGATTTAATACACAGGAGAGAGCAAACAACCACTCCGCACGTGCAGAGCAAATACAGGAGAGCCTGAAGTTTCAGCTCTTCAATACAAGCCCCAGATGTGCATGTGCATGGAAAGGACAAGACAAGAGACTTTTGAGGATATGGAGGTTCACATTTAAGACAGAGAAAGGAAGTGGTTTGAGAGAGCATTAAAGGAAGCTATGTCCACTGTGAATGACCATCACTGAAAAAAGGTCATGTGTAATACAGTCCTGAGATCCTGTTCAGAGCAATTTAACCTCGACTGATACCTCAACGCATGCGTCCTTAAGTCACAAACATGTCCTGACGTGGCGTCTCGGGACCACCTTAGAGGTTAAATGCCCCATCAGCTGCTATAACAGGTCATTTTAACTTGGTGATGTCACAGTGGCTACAGCTAACTGTGTATGCACTTTATTATCTTACTTCTTAGTTTTGTTGTTGGAGGTAAGATAATGGCAGAGGGGTGGGTTGAGAAGCAAGAGGTATTTATTGATGAACTCTTAACTTGCACAGCTTGATGGCAGAGTAAAAATTGCTCCAGTTTTATTGCTGCTTTCACCCAGACATGGGCAAGAATACAAAATGCAGAAAAGGTCACAGGTGGTTTGCAGTGTACATTTATCAAAATGTAATTTTAAACCACATTTCTGCTAAATTCAGTTCACTCATTGTTTGAATTACATTCAAAAACTTAGTGATAAGACAAAATAAAAGCGTAGAAGACGCATTCAAAGCTCTCAGTGCTTTCTAGTTTCGCTCACAGTAATTTAGCTCTAAGGTCGTGTGATTCATTGGAGTTTAATTATTCCCAGCAGTTACACTTTTGCATGAAGTCAAAAGCTTTGACACCGAGTGCTTGTCTCTGTCTTGCAGGCCTGCTGCAGTACAGCCACGAGAAGGGGGAGAAAGGAGGAAGCCTGTCGTTCAAGTTCAACCTGCTCGATCCGGAGGGCAACAAACTGATCGACCAGTCCTTCTTCATCAGTGTGCTCGGTAGGGTTTCCTCCACCCTCTGCAAAGCAGGGACTGAAGTGTTCTTTCATTTGGTGGAGACGAGAAGGCAATTACTGCAGATTTATCCCTCCGTCTCAGGCGTGGTTACTGATGTGATGCTGCATCCTGCATACGTCCTGAATACGAATTGTGTGCAGTCATGTTATTTATAACCCACTTTTACAGCTTGTTAGCTTTCGCATGTTAAATGAGCTCGTTTTGGGTTTTTAATCGACATTCTCAGAAATTTGTAAATTTCATTCGCTACAGCGATTTTCTTCTTATCATCACTGTAATGCAATTATTTTTGGCAATTTTTAGTCATATATGAATGACACTATTCTTTTTGAGATTGTGAGAAAAGAAAAAAAAGATGCATTTTTATTTTGAGCTACGCACACTTATTTTGCAGTTGTGGGTAGTCAACTGCCAAAGACTCATTCTGAGCCATGATAAACCTTGAAAACTCAGCTGCGCACATTTTTATTGTCACCGTTTCCATCTAAAAAGCTTCCTCTCGCTTCCTTCTGGGGATAAAACCAACTATTGCACTGGTTCAGCAGGTTGAATCCAGTGTCCACATGAGAAGCTACTGGATATTGAAGGATTGCCTTTCCCTCATGGTTGAGCAGCATCCCGACTCTCTCATATCTTTTGCAGCTCTCTTTTTAGCCTATTATTTTCTCACCTTTTTCACTTTTCTGTTTATTGCACCCTCTCAGATGTGACTACAGGGAAGCTCTCCGTCCATATCTCTTCCTGCCGTACTGCCCTCTGATGACTTCTTTGCCCTTCTCTCACTCTTTTCTATTCTTTCTTTACATCTTTCAAACCTATATCACTTTTTCACACCTCCTGATATGAAACTGTCGTTCTCGGTCTATATAAATCTCAGCTTATTTCACCTCCTCTGCTATAGTCCATCCTTTCTCCCTTTTACCAGGATAAGAAACTGATTCTTAATACTCTGATTTCCTTTTGGATGAATTGTTTTCCCAAACGCTGCCAAAAGCCGGGTTTTACTGATAAATCTTAGCTTGACGGGGGAATTTTTTTCTTCTCTCTGCTCCTTTTCTTTTTATACTGACCTTATTTATTTTATCTTGCAGAGGACCATCTCCCTCCATCTGTAGTGGTAAACAAAGGCCTGGTGCTTGATGAAAACTCAGTGAAGAAGCTGACCACGCTGCAGCTGTCAGCCAGCGACCAGGACAGCGAGCCGGGCGAGCTCATCTACCGTGTCACCAAACAGACGAGCCTGGGGCACCTCGAGCATACTGCCAGTCCAGGTAGACCAGGCCTATATGTCAGTGTTTTTAGAAGCTAATTCCATACTGTACAGAAAGTCAGGTGTGCATGCTGTTTGTGAGGCAAAGCACAGGGAAAGGCGTGATTACATATGCACAAGGGGCTGACACAGAGGGTGCAAAAGCAAAGGTGACAGCCAAACACTAAACCAAACCAAACTTTTTCAACTGCTCGGTGAGTACTTGGCATCCTGCATGCAAACTGCAGGTGACTATGGCATTCTGATTGCTACCAAAGCAATTACACTTATGTTTTTGGTGCAGCAGACTCTGATTTCACCTGGCAACCAACACCAACCAATGGCGTTTTCCCCAAAGTTTCCAGGGGTGTGCAGCGCTGTGGTGCATTGATCACCTCTCCGGTTTGAGCCTGTCCAAAGACATGCTTGTCAATTGGTGATTCTAAAGTGCCTGTCGGTGTGATGGTAGTAGAAGTATTTTAGTGACAACAGGGTGTGGCAGCACGAGAGCTGAGCTGAGGAAACCTTCATGCATCAAATACCAAGAGAGTCAGGGGAACACCGGGGAGGACGACAATAAAACTAAAGCAGGGAGCTAAGAACTTAATCACAAAAACCCGACTTCACTACAATAACGAAAGAAAATGGAACCAAAAACTTTCCAAAACCAAATCTCATCACAAACTCTGTAGATGGAGACTCGTTCCCTTCTGTATATGATAACTGACTCCACACACAGACGGAGCTGTAATGAAGCTTGCTCCAGTTCCTCCATCCATTATTTCTGTTCTATTCCAGCTGCCCTCTACAAAACAGACACCCTCACGCACTCTGTCTTTCTGCTTCTTGTGACACAAACAAACTTCAAATGACTGCAGCCATAACTAAAATTCTCATCTTGTGATGCAATAAAGAGAAAACAAAAAAGGAATAACTGATGTGAATCTAGATTTGGAGGAAACGGAGATGCTGATGCATCTTCCGATCACAGAGAGGTGATTATTAGCTTCCGTGCTGTTGAGGATTTCAGCCCCGGCTGAACGGATTCCCCACACGAGTGCTTGCAGCATGTTAACGAGCTGGATGTTAACACTGCTCCCCGATCTTCAAGCATCAGATCACCTCTGAGCCACAGAGCAGCACCGGATAATTACTGCTAGCCATTCAGCCAGTCTGTCACACCATGCTAACACGCACAGCTAGCCCACTGCCCCTATGGGAAGCTTGTCAGCATACGAGGAATGTCAAGGTAACAGCACAAAGAGATGAATGCTCCCTTTCAGCTCCCGCTCTCAAAGCCAATGTTTTCAAGGGGCTTATTAAATGAATGAGGTTATGACACACCTCTCCAGCTGAGTGTTTGCCAAAAGGCACTTGTCTCGCAAAATGCTTAAGACAGTAACCTGCCTCACCTCCTCAAATGATTTTTGCAGCTTTGTTTTAGACACTAGTTTGAGGCGTAGCTCAAGCTTCCTAATAAATGATGAAGTAGATACAGCTTATGTTGTTTGATCCTAAAGTTTAAAATTCCGATAAAGCTTGAAGTTGAGTGTGTAGCCCTTTTTCTGCCACATTAAAGAAGGAAAGACTTCAGTCAGATCCATCGGCCAGGTTAACTTTAGTCAGGTAATGGTGTCTTCCTTTTGCCTGATGTTGCTCATTAGAGTAGAAATATTCACCTCCCACAGCCGATGGGTGAACTGCTTCCTTAATAACTTAGAAACTATGACTATATTAAACGACACAACACATCTTTTAAAATAGTAATTAGTTACTAATTACTGATTACTTCTCCAAGAAAGTAATCCTGTTGCTTTACCGATTTCTTATTTTTAAAAGTAATTGCTTTATTACTTAGTTACTTTGTTTCTTTTTTTAAAAACATGATACACAACCTGAATACGTAATAAAGCAACAGACCTTTTTTTATTTTTTCTGCGTAATCGGTCATGGATTTTTTCAATGTTTTTGTCACTTTTTACAGAATCAAACTCAAAGTAATGTCAGTATTTCCAAGCTTTAAACGCTGCATGGTCGTACTCTCTCCCGCACTCCATATTATCCGTTGCTGATCTACACACGTCTGTTGCTGCCGCGGACGTTCCACGCTCATGAGACACTCTCACAAACAAAATCACAACGGTTTAGTAACGCAGTAATGTAGCCTGCTTACAGGAAAGTAACAGTAATCTAATTACCTTTTTTGCAATAGTAATCCCTTACTTTACTCGTTACTTAAAAAAGTAATGAGATTATGCGTTATTGCCTGTCTCTGGTCCACATACAGAAAGTATCATAGAAGGATTTAAGGAATCATGCTACATTTGACCTTTGACCTTTTGTTCATGGTTAATGAATTAAGAGTCAAAGTGACAAATTTAAAACTTTGTTACTTACTACCATTGTTTGGAATAGATAGGAATATAGGGAATTATATATTTTTATTTAAAGACAGCATTGTGAAGAGAAAGAGAATGACCTGCCTAGTTATTAGGAAATATACTTTACTATGATATATAATATTCATGTACTTTATTATTAAACATTTAAACAATGAGATGAATTGTACACGTGTAATATATCTGCATATCTGTATAAATAAAAAATAATTATGTCAAGTACAGTAACGTGGGTTTCAGCAGGACAAAATAAAAGCTCTTGCTCTTGTTTTTATTTCAATACAAATTTCTTAAAGAAGGACAAAGAAAAGGAAATAAATAAATACAAAATGTCACACTATTGCCCTTGAATTATTTCTAAAAACCGGACATCTGTGCAGACCACAACTAGACAGATAAGCCGATCGGATTCAGACTTAAACTAACATCAGACAGTCTCTAGAACCATTAAACATTAAACCATTAAACCATTAAACCATTAAACATCCAATATACTCAACTTCCCAGAAAGTTTTGACTTCACGTGTGAAAATAGGAATGATTTTTGCTGTGTTTTGTACCACGGTATCAGCTCAGATGTTAACCTGCATAGCAATCAGGCTATGTTTAAACAAAATGTGGCATTTTCTGCTATTCCCTGTCAGGACAAATGGAAAATGTAATTTGCTTAAATATGATGGAGCTAAAAAAAAGCTTGGTTTTCATCACTGACTGAGAATATTGGATCTGTCTCCCAGCCTGCCTGTCCTGATTATAATGATGTATAAACCTTCAGCTGAGGAGTAGATGCCAAAAGCCAGGAAGACCACAGAATTGCGCTCATTTTGCTGTCAATAGATGACATGAAGAGAGCTGATGCTGAGATGTCTTTATTTCCTCGATGCGTTGTTGGCATGTTGAATGAGTTTCTACAAGTTGTAATTTTTTTTTTTAACTTTGTGAAATTCCCTCCCCTCTGTGGTGAGAAATAACTAAATTATTCAACAAGTTAATACCTTCGCAGCGAGGTCACCTGCGGCACGAGAAATCCATTTTCATGTTATGTAATGTACCTCCGTACAATGACAGTCTGTAATGAAGTGCCTGATTTAAAATGTAACATCACCTATCGGTGAAACGAGCTTAGATTTTAGGACTCGAATGCTTTCATTTCTAGTCTTTGAAACTTGTTTCTACCCATCTAGTGTTAATTCCTTCTGGGATACAAGTTATGTATATTATGCACACACACACAAACACACATGCAGCTATTGCCCATTGTTTTTATACTAAAGATGAATTATTGTTGAATAAAGACATTTTTCAAACACATGTAAAATGTGGCCAATTGTGTTTATCGTTCCCCCCCATCTCCCCCCAGATGATGGAGGGAATTGAAAAGGAGGTGGTGGGGGGGTGAAAAGAAGAGGGTAAAGGGAATGTAGATGGGGCAAAAAGAGAGGGATAAGAGAGGGGGAAAAGAAGGCAAAAGAGAGAGGAGAGAAACCCCCAACAATCCCCTCTGAGCAAGCACCAGGCGACAGTGGATAGGAAAAACTCCTTTTAAAATGAAAGAAAGCTAAAGGAGAAACTTATGGCAGAACCAGGCTCAGGAGGGGGCAGTCAACTGCCGGGACTGGTCGGGGGGGGGTGAGGGTGAAAAAAAGGATGAAGAAGGGAGGGGGAGAGGAGTGGTGAAAATTAAGATGGAATAGAGGTGGAAGAAAACGAGGTTACATCAGGTGAGGAGCAGCAGTGTCCCCCCTCCAGAACCAGTGGAGGCGTTTTCCCTTCTTTTTCAGACACTGTTGCACGAGCAGTGTTTTCTCGAGGATGAGGGTTTTCAGCTCATCGACTGTTTCTGCGTTTTCTTTCTCAAGTTTGTTGCATCGTTTCACCATGTTTTCTAATTCTTCTTGTTTTCCTTCAAGCTTGTCTTTCAGTTCTTTAACTGTTGCCTCCTCCATTCGCTTTGCTTTGTGCATATCTGTATTTCTCTGTTCTGCTTTCTTGTGCATGTCTTCTAAATGCTGGTTTCTCTTCTGGATTTCTTGAAGTCTACGCTGCAGGTCTTCGTGTGTTTTCTGTTGTTGTTTTTGCACCTGGATTTCAGTGTTTTTGTACTTCAAATTGTTGGAAAGTTTCTCAAGTTCTGTGTTGTTTCTCAGCATTTCATTGATGCGATGCTGCATCTCTGAGCACTTTTTTCTTTTCTCCTTCCAGTACAGCTGTTTTGTACTTTGTTTCATTATACAGTTCTTGGAGTGTTTGGTTTTTCTTCTGGAGAATAAGTTTTTCTTCTTCCTGTTGTATTTTCTGTTGGTCTTTTTCTTGAAGCAACTCTTTATTTCTGTGCACTGTTTTATCGAGCTTTATTTGGAGCAATCTGTGTTTTTCCTCCATCTCTTCAAGCTTGGAGTCCTTTTGTTTCTGTTTCATTTCCATTTGCTTCTTGTCTTGAAGCAACTGTTGATTTTTGTGCAGAGTTTTCTTACGCTTTACCTGCAGCGCTTTGCATTTTTCCTCCATGCCTTGGAGTTTGCTCTGCATGTCTCTCTGCTCTATGGGCTGTTGTTTCTTGTCTTGGTGGATTTCTTTAATTTTTTTCCAGAGCTTCATCAAGCTTTTCTTGGAGCTCCTGATTCTTTTTGTCTTGGAGAGCCCATTCTTTCTCCTTTCACCTTCTTTTTCTTGAAGCTGGTAGGATCATTTTTCTAATTCAGCGCTCTTTCTCTCATTTTCTTGCGCCTGATTTGTATCAGCTACCAGTTAACTGGAAGCTGATACAAATCAGGATTTAAAACCATTTTTTTGTTTGTTTGTTTTTCTGTTTGACTCCTTGTTTTATTTAATATCACAATTTATGCGATAATATTATGGGTTTGTTAAACTGTCCGATGTGAAAATGTTGGAAAATTAAATATCACAGCTGGAAATCAATGAAAATGAAAATTCAGAAGAAGTTCTGTCCTTTTCTTCATTAATGCACATCATAGATAACTATGTAATGTGTCTGTTGCACACTTTGTATGTCAGGAATAACCATAAATGCGTTGTCTTACGAATGGCTGCATCAGGTCTTTGCATCCACAATAAGCGAGGATAACAGAACTCCTGGGAAGTTCTTGTTTTTAAGACAGTCACCTTTAGTTTCATGCTGAGTGATGCTGGATTGTTGCAGACAAACCTGATTATGTTTCCCACTGGGTTTTAATCTTCAGAGGCAACACAGAGTAAAGAGAAGCATTATTATTTCAGTTTGACTTCAGTCTCAGTTTAGTTTCATCCCCATGTAAATTTGATAAGAGCCAAATTGAGGAAACAAACTCAGTGTGTGGTCAGAAAATGCCACGGTGGCTTTCAAACACATGTCACAACAAAATATGAAGGATGAGACAACACATGGAAACATAACGGAAACAGACGCGGAAGAATTCATCTCTGAAGTTTCTCACTTTATTGAACTGGCATTTGCCCGAGACCACCAGAACTGGTGGAATGGACACCAGAATGAACACAAAGAAAATCAAAGGTAGACAAAAATCAGTCAGGAGGGATCAGGAGAGAGCAACGGTCTGCCAAGCCAGTCCCTGTTCCAGAGTTTTGTAGTTTTGCACCTGCTGTTGCTTTAATATTAAACTAACGAGGTTGAAATAGACTCACAGTGGTTTCTGCTTCTTAATTGGACAGATTTAAGTATAACCAACTTTGTGTTATGCTGTGATCATCAAGCATAACCTATTTTTTTAGCAGTGTAAAACCATCTCATACCAAAATATGAAAGATGAAATAACAAACATAATGGACGTTTTTGGGCTTAACGACTACTTGTCTCTCTTTTGTCTCTTTAGGCACCAGGATCAGCACCTTCACACAGGCTGACCTGGCATCACGCAGCATCCAGTACGTCCACAGCAGTGAAGAAGAGAAACATGCTGACCAGTTCTCCTTCACTGTGTCCGACGGGACAAATGAGGTGAATGGCAGAAGATTTTTACGATACCTGGTAGCTTAACACATTTTGAAATTCATTCATGAAGGAGGTCTTGATGCAGATATCTACTGACTACAACAGAAGCTCTGAAATGTTATATGTTCTTCCTAAAGACAAATAACTTTGTTCCCGGTTTGGCCAAGAAATAAGTCAGCAGTCCTTGTGTGTCCAAAGAGGGACCTTTAAGCTCAAGTGCAGGGAACAACCTTAAATGGTGCAGAAAACAAGCTGTTGACAGGAATTAAGAAAGAAAACCAGAAAGAGAAATGTTTTCTGATCATTTAAAAGCTTAGCTTAATTAAAAAACCTTAACGATGTCATAAAATTGAAAGATATGAAAGAAATCTAAAAATCTAACAAACTCTAAAGCTTTTATAACAGCAAGAAAGTGGCAGCTTCCTGTCCCGGTTCACCTCATGCATAAATCTGCCTCGCTAATCCGAACTAATGAGGATCACAAGGACTCGAGTAAACATGTGAAAAAGGTCATTTGGCCTTCACGCCTGGCTGACTGCAATGTGTGGAAGCTTTGTGGCCACTGTGCTAGTTGATGAAGTTGTGTAGCCCTTTTGTACTTTTGCTAACTCTGAGAAGCCTGAGAACTGAGAACTACTGCATATTTATAATCAAGTGTTTTGCTTTAAGATTAGAGGGGGGGGTATTTTAATGATACCAAAGCAGAATATTGTTCTGTCCCTGCGAGGAGATGGGATTGCTTGAGGGCATGCCAATTCTGTATTAATGCAGTTTGTGGTATTTGGGTTATGCCATCTGGGGTTAAACTTTTTCATCATAATGAGACTTTTCTATTTGCTGAATTGTTGAGAAAGTTTTCGGTGGAAAGTAGGACGTTGATGACAGGATGTATTTTTGGTGACGCATGTGTGTAACAGTTTCATCATCTTATTATTTGTTCTTTGTCATCAGGTTGCCCAGACTTTCTACATCACCATCAAGCCTGTGGACGACTCCCTGCCTCTTCTTCAGGTCCCTGGCATGAGGGTGCAGGAGGGTGTAAGAAAGACCATCACTGAGTTTGAGCTGAAAGCCACCGATGCGGACACAGAGGTAACACACTGGCTACATACGTTTTCTGCAAGTCTTTCACAGCTTTAATTACAGTATATGTGTGACATCATGATAAGAATTAGGTGTCACCTTCTGGAGAAGGAATGATGACAGAGACGCTTTGAGCACTTCAGAAGATCTTAAAGGAAAACAAAACAAAAAACTTTTCAAATGTGTAACTGAGGTCAAAATAAAGCATTCGAGCACTGATTAGTGCAGCATGCACACTCATACTTCTGCTTTAATTAAGGCTAAACGAAGGCAAATGTTGCTCTCCATCCTCTGCTGCATATATTGTTAATATATAACTCATATATTGAGTTAATAATATGTATAAAATTTATATGAAGTAATTTCGATGAGCTCTTTTGCCTTTTTCCTTCTTTAAGCATCTGATTTGCTTTATGAGCTGCACAATATAAACAGATAATATCTTTGAAGCTTGGTATGATTCGCGAACTAATTGGCATCATGTTTGGAATGATATCAAAGCAGTACAGTTACCAGTTTAGAAAATCTGAATATTTATTTTGAGATCATTACCTAAGCTGGCTAAGCAGCCGGTTTAAGGGATAATCCAACACTGTTAATCCCATAAATCTGTAATTCTCAGTAAAAACTTGAAGATTTATTTTCTACTGCTTCACTGTAGAATTTTAGAGAATAGCACCCGAAAGTGATGTTAAAGTCCGGCACTAGATAGATATTTTGAAGCTGATTCCTGAATTTGAGTTCTCACTATTTTGCATGCTTGGCTGTTTGTTGGTTGTGCAGAACAAACACGGCTCCTTATGTAGCTTCATCCTAGGGAGACATTGCAGACGATATCACTGAGCCGTCCTTCCTTTCCCTGCATTTTCCCTCCTATAACACGACCTTCCTCCAGGCGGAGTCCGTCGTCTTCAGCATCGTCCAGGCTCCTCGACATGGCACCATTGAGCGCACCATCAACGGCCAACATTACCGACAGACCAGCAGCTTCACCATGGACGACATCTACCAGAACCGCATCAGCTACAACCACGACGGCTCCAACTCGCTCAAAGACCGCTTCACCTTCACCGTGACCGACAGCACCAACCTGCTCTTCATGGTGGAGGACGACGGAAAAGAGGTGTGTGTGTGTGTGTGTGTGTGTGTGTGTGTGTGTGTGTGTGTGTGTGTGTGTGTGTGTGTGTGTATAAAAGGCACCTTCTGGAGTTTTATTACAGTGGGATGATTGAAATGGCAGAGTGAGGGCATGTCTGCGAGAGTGTGCCTGCTCTGACCTTTTGTGAATTTGTGGGTGTATTCATGTGCTTCTGTCTTTGTGAGGACAGAAGCTGGGGGCTTTTGCAAAGGGCGGACACCTCCGGAAACACAGTGAAAATATTTTTGCAAAGGACATGTTTGGAAGGACAGGCTATTTCTGTAGCATGGAAGGAGCAGCTTTATGTTTGCAGCTCATTTCATCTGAATAATATTTAGAGTCCTACAGAGCGGAGACACACAAAGTTTTGTGTTAGTAAATGTGCAGTATTTAATTATCTGCTGCCCTGAAAACTCACATAGATCCAGTGAAGGGCCACACAATGGACAGTTTACCTAAAACATGAAAAAGTGCTGTGCTGCAACACACAGGAAATCTTTGGTCCGTATGGATGTGTCACAATCTGTCACTACCTGTGCCACCCGAATGGATTGCAGGTACAGCGTAATGCTACCAGCAGTGACACTGGCAAAAAGCAGATCTAAAATCCTGTTACTGTCATTTGCACTGAAGCAGGTGAAATAGATAAACAGTGGTTTATGTTTCCTAAATGGAAACAGTAACAATTCTGAAGTAAAACCTCAAATTCGGAGCCAGCCTCTAGTGGACATCAGAGGAACTACATTTTAGCGCTTCTCTATTCTTTAGCTGAGGAGTTGCCACTTGGGCAAACAAAAGTGCAGCACACTATGTTGTCTCTAGAAATGTATTAACCCGTCGCCACTATTGAGGATTGTAAGATGGTCTGTGAGGAGGGGCTTATTCCACACGTTTGCCTTGGATGCACTTTGACATCCTTGCGAGTGTTTTGTTTTCACAGCTAGACCAGAAACCATCACACAAAGGTCCCTACAACTACAGAAGGACGAATGTGTGTGCAGTGGTAATGTCAGCTTTATGGTTATGAGCAAGCCTCAGGGTGAATCGACTCCTCTGCTTGTCAGTTTCCCCCCCTCAGCTCCACCACCTGTCATTACTAATAGCCCATATGATTAAACTGAATGACAGCGTGTAGGTATTGACATCCCCGATCGCAAACACACACTTCCCAGCCTTGGGTTTATTATCTTTCCATCACCTGGGGACATTTGGCTCGACAGCCACGCGTGCTCTGCAGCTCAGTAGATGCTTCGTGGCATTATCTCTGCTGTCGTTTCGGTTTCATTCCCACTGGAGCTGCTGTGTTATTAAATAATGTATGAGTTGCTATAAACTGTGTGGACAAGCTCAGCCTTCAAATGGCACGTGTCAAAGTTGGCCTTATTAGCCTCTCTTGTGGTGATTAGTTGCTCCCTCATGCACCTCAGACAGCAGGCGGTAACTGTGCATACTGGAGTAACTTATCTGATTCAGCCTGCCATCGCTGTTGGAAGCGGCTGAATCAATAAAGTAAAACCCAGCAGAACCTTTAAATGGTTCCTAACAACATTTTGAGCTTTCAAAACTTTGTTCAATGAGAATGATTTCAAGTGGAACCTACAGTGAAGTCTGTGCATGTCTCTAGCACAGCTTTTTGCAACCTGATATAAAGAAGAACAATTTACTCCAAAGTCTGAAGGCGTATTTTAATAGCTGGATGTCTAAGTTTAGTGTTTTTGGGCTTTCTTTGAGCTTTAAACACTTATTTAATATGTTTAAGTTTGTGTTCCTGAGCTCCAGCGTCTCCCTGTCTGTGCTCCGTCTCGTTCATGTGCTTCTGTCTCCTGTGCTTCACTGTCTGCGATCATGCTCGAGCTCGTCTCCAGAGTCAATTATCTTCTGTTTGTTTCCTGCTTCATTTTAAAGGTCAAGGATGCCTTTGAGTAGTCACTTTTTCTTAGAAAGGTTTTTAACTGAGTGAAGCGAAGTAAGCGCGTGGCAGCCATAATAAGAGCTGGTCGAATTGTCTAAATACTGAGAAAAGATGATTCAACTCACCTTCATTATCTCCTTTGGCAGGAGAAGATCCCATAATTGACAGTGATGCACCATTCGACCATCATTTAAAGCAATCAATACACAAAACTGACAAAAAGCGCTGATCATATAATTATGTGTGTTTTTCCGTTTCCATAATCTGTTGATATATTTAGAATTTTCAGGCTGTTAAACTCACAGCTGAACTCTGAACATCACACTGCTGTAATAAACTCTGCTTCATGTCGAGTTGTGTGAAGAATTACTGTAAGCGCTCTAATTCCAGATTATGAGGGTATTATGGTAATTAATCAAAGTACATTTGAGGTTTGCTATAGTTCAGTTTGTATTGGTCATGTCTGTTGTATTGCCAGACACAAGCATTATCATTAATTAAGTTTTACTTTGGATCAGCTGGGATGAGCGATACATGCAGGGGATTTTGTTTTAGTTGAGTAGAAATCCTGAACAAGGAGGAGCTCAGAAGTTTCACTGGATCAGTCGCCAGCAGGAAAACACAAGAAAGTTAGACACGCTGTACTTTTAACACTGTAGTTTTTACTACTTGTTAAAATTCACTTAAACCATGTTTGCGGTCTTTAAAAATTGTTTTTAATTTCTTTCATTTTTTGGGTTTTCCAGATAGTGACAGCCGCTCCCCAGAAGTTCAAGATAGATATCCTGCCAGTTGATGATGGAACGCCGTTAATTTTCACCAACCTGGGACTGCAGTGGCTGGAGTACATGGATAACAAGGTACGATAACGATGCAGGGACACATTTTTATTTTTCCATCTGATCATGAGTAAAATGAATGTGGGGTTTGATTAAAAGAGAACAGATCCATAAAAATGTCGAATGTCAAGGTCAAGCTCATCTTCTCGGGCACGTTCAACTGTCCAATGTAATCTCTTAGAGAGAAGAAATGATTGAACAAAAATGCCACAAACCTGCTGTTACGTTACCAGTAAGACTGATGTTTACATCCTCAGCATCAGTGGCAGACTGGTCTGCTTTGTGACTGGAGATGATGAAGTAAATGACCTCCCTCAGACAATAAGCACACGCAGTTTCACTTGCATTCTATTACATACGCACACCAGAGGAGAGATGACCATATGCATGACAGGCAAAAACAAGGCTTGAGACTACATGTTCATATGATCCATAAAGTTTCAAAAACTAAGTTTAAGGATGTTAAAGATGTCTGTAATGTTTTGACACACTGAAGAGATCCAGTGCACGTGTCAGAGGTGAGAGTAGAGGAAGACATCGATTCCAGGGAGTAATGTGGGAGAAACCGCAGCCCAGAGGTGTGCAAGAACAAAAGGTCTTTAATTCATTAAACTTTTTACCCCACAGCTGTAAAAAGCCGATACGACACGCAGGCAGTTGGCATGGATGCCCAGATTTGTGAATACGATGACTTGAAGATGAACCAGTTTTGGGTTTTCAAATTGATACCATAGATACCTCTAGTACTATTCACGCAAAAATCAGTGACCTTGATCTCAAGGTCAAGGTCTGACGCCGAGTCTTGTGACTCGAGAATGCATCACAGTGTGTGGTGTGGAATTACGCTCTGTCAGAAATTTAGCTTGACTATCTGAGCGTGGCTGCTGCTGCTACTAACCAGCAAACCGAAATGCAGCATGTAGCGGTGCACTGATTGAGGGGACACTGACCCCTCTGTAAAAAAACTGGCACACACCAAAACAAATTTGGACAGCAGAAGCCGCTGATGTGTGCTGTAGCTTCTGACTGAAGTGAGGAGATGGACAGAAATAGCCAAAGATTTAGATTTCAGGTAGTGGGCATTTGCTATTGTACACACTACATGCATAAAACCTGGTGTCCTTCCCATATTTATTAAATCCAGGTCCCACAGTGGTGATAATAAATTCTGCAGAAATCCAAGTTAGTAGGCATTTAGGAAACAAATCTAATTAAACTATTTGTGATGTTTAATAGCCGTAAAGTGAGAACAGCGGACACTGAAGAGAACTTTTTCTAATTTATTACCTTTAATTGGACACCAGCAGAGGACGGAAACATCAGGATAATTCAGACGTGTTTAAATGAGCTGCGTGTTTGCTCAGCAGAACTCTCTCTGAGCAAATTATGTTTTAAAAAGTGCCAGCACACCCTGCTCTGCCTGAATATTCTCCAGCAGAGTAAATGTGTCTGTGTGAAGTGCGAAGGAGAAGCTCCATCACTGTTTGTTCTGAAATTAGCCCCTCCACCTCCACCTGCTGGCTTGCACACCTCATCGCAATGCAGCGCACAGGTTTGTTTGGTAGGCACTGTAAATATGTCACATCGTTCATTTATTCTCAGCCTGTGCTGTGTTTGCGCTGCAGGTAATTAAGTCCTGGGTGTTTTATCACTGAGCCAAATTATCATACTGTTACACTCCAGTATCTTCTCCTGAGTGCTGGAGGGGAAGGCAAAACCTGACCATTACCAATTGATCATATAGGCAGGAGACCTTTGGTCAAAGAAAATTATTCCATCTGAACTCATTAATATTTGGAGGTGCAGCTGTGTTCTGGGATATCCTACACTTCCATGTGCAAACATGGATCGCCTGAGGTTGAGAAAGGAGCAAGAAGGTGGTCCCATGATAGTGCAGTTTTTGTTATGGCCTGCAGGGGGAGGCAATTTCAAAACAATTTCTTACTGAGTTTCATTTAATACAGGGGTGTCGAACTCTAGGCCTCGAGGGCCGGTGTCCTGCAGGTTTTAGATATCACCTTGGGTCAACACACCTGAATCAAATGATTAGTTCATTAGCAAGTTTCTGGAGAACTTCAAGACATGTTGAGGAGGTCATTTATCCATTTAAATCAGCTGTGTTGGATCAAGGAAACATCTAAAACCTGTAGGACACCGGCCCTCGAGGCCTGGAGTTCGACACCTGTGATTTAATACAACACGATGTTTCGGTTGCTAATTGTGGTCCTCTTTAGTCATTTAGGTGAAGCGGGGCATGCATTACAGCATCGTTGCCCTGCCTCTAACTTAGGAGCGTGCAATCAAAATGTGGAAAGTGTTCAGAGTTATAAATATCTCACTTTTGATTCAAAGCTGATTTTCAAAGCAAACTGTGAAGCTGTGTGCAGGAAGGAGCACCAGCAGCTCTCGTGTTTAAGAAGGCTTTCTTGTGTCCACATTGATAAAACCATGATGGTTTTATTTCTTCGTGCTTTTATTGAATCTGTTTTGTCCTTTTAGTTGTTGTGGTTTGGATAGTTATCTGAAAAGAGCAGAAACTCTGTCATATTGTTAAGTGGTCTAACAGGTTGACTGATGAACCACAGCTGAAGTTCCCTGTCCACCAGACAGTTGCAGCGGTTGGCTGGTTTCATTTTTCTTTACACAGTGAGATTCGTTATTCTTCCTCCCAGACAAAGGCTTCTGGTCCCAAACTGTAAAACGACAAGGTTTAAAAAGTCACTTTTGTGGATTACATGATGGCCAAATTAGTATTTTAAATTTTTGTTGTCAGTATCTTTTTTGTTTTCTGTTGTTTCTTCAATTCAAGAGAACAAATCTACCTACGGTTAAAAATAAAATAACCTGAACCTGAAAATGTTCAAATCAAGGATTTCTAGAACTGTAGTTCCCAACCCAGCGTCCACGTAGAAGTTACTGGCAAATCTAAAAAGAAGGTTGGTTGCAAAGTAGTTTGCAGAAGAAACGGCGTAAAAAAAACACAGCTGATATGAACTTTGTTTGTTGGATACATTGAAACGTATTTGTAATAATCATAAATGAAACAAACTTTAAAATATACGAAACACACCAAAAAACATTTTAAGCCATCGCATCACCTTCTGTGGTGATGTTCCAGATGTGCATGCTGGTGGTTTTAAACTTTGGAAAACTTGTAAAGACAACGTAGAGATCAGTCTAAAGTCCTTCATCCAACTAAGAGTCAAATAACAACAGTTTGGATGCTAATCTGTACTTAAGTGGGGAGATCAGTGTGTACAATAGCATTTCCCAATAATTTATCCAAACTCACTGGAACAATTAGTGAGTTTATAACCCACATAAACCAGATGCTGTCCATTAACAGAATAGAAAAGTTTAACTACTTTGCCCTTCAGAGGAGGGGCTCTTCAACATTTTGTTGGCTGAATGTCAATGTCGAGATCAGATACAGAAGCAAACACGTTTTTTAGTTGGTGTTGTGATGTTGGATATGCTGATTTCTGTTTTTTGAGCCAGTAGTGAAGCGACGCTTCTTAACAGCTGTATTTTTGCTATGATAGCTACATCAGGGAAGCTGAAATTGAAAAGAAAAGCTTCCTGCTCAGCTGAATCACAGTGTGACATTGTGAATGAAATCCCCAGTAATGAATTCTTGCACTGTGAGATCATTTCTGTGCGGTGAAAACTGAAAAACAGGAAATTTGAGTCAATCCTGTCTGATGTCTGTCAGGCCACCAATCTGATCACCAAGAGGGAGCTGCTGACCATGGACCCGGACACAGATGATGGACAGCTGGTTTATGAGATCACCACAGAGCCAAAGCACGGCTTCCTGGAGAGCAAACTGAAACCTGGGAACCCCATTACCACATTCACACAAGGTACCGAAGCTCTCTCTGTTGCCTTTATATTTACAGCAGTAACAGTTTAACTTATTAGACAACCCATCCCTCTTAACTTCTCCTCCTCAGACAGCTTCAATCCTTGTCCAAAAAAAGACTCAGTTCATCAAATTTATCCCGAGAGTCTGTATTTATAGTGGTGACACTTTTGCAACTCTCTGTGGCATGTTGGAACCAATCAGGGCCAAATCCTGATTGGTCCAGAAGCTGATATCCACACAATTGTGCTTATCCACTAAAGTGTTCTCAAAGGTCATCTCATTTTGAGCATTTTGAGCATTGTGGAGCACCAATTCAAGGCAAATGTGATAGCTAAGTCCGTCAGAGATCAGCAAATTAAAAAAATTTTGAGTCATAGCTAAAACTTTTGGCTTTGACTGCATGAAACTGCATTTTTATCAGCATAGGTACAGAATTAAAAAAATTGCAAGAAGCAGAAGAATTTTTCTTTTAACAGTAAATCTTTTTTTTTACTCCCAGAAATATCAATATAAATTATTTATGGGATTCTCAACATTCCCCACCACACTCAAGAGTGCGACAGTGGACAAAAACAAACTAACAGAAAAGTGAACTGTGTCCACATTCGTCCCCTGGGGTCATATTTTTTACTGTTTTCCTTTGAATAAAGACGTTTGTTTGACCATGAGCACAGTTTACCTTGGAAGCAGTGATCTGATTGCTGATCTACCAATAATTTTAATTTAACTGAATTTTATATCAAAGAAAATTTCCATCAGCTCAACACAGGTTGAGCAAAAGAGTGGGTGCAGTTTTGCTTTTCCCCTCCTCCTGTGAGCTTTGATGTTTTTTTACTTTTCCTGCTTCAAATATTCATAAAAAATTAGGATAATTTTCCTTTTTTGTGTCATACTGAATACTAATAAACCATGTACTACATGTGCATTTTAAAAACTCACATCAATGGGCTGATAGTGTACGATATTAAAAGGAAATGAAGGCTACTTTTTGATATGCAGGATGGTTATCTTATCAGGTTAGTGTGGGATCACCGCAGTCATAGTTTGGATATACTGTGTACAACTGCAGTTAGTGCCAGTTTACGTTTCCAAATCAAACCCTTATGACTCTTTAAAATGAAGCCATGGCTTTCTGACTCCCTTCAAGTTCAATCTTTTTTCTCTTCTGAGATAGTTTCATTTGAAGGACTTTTTAATGCCTGAGGATTAGCTATGCCTCAGAGCAGTTGGGACTCACATATTGGAAACCCGCTGCTCCTGGGCTTTCCTTCTAAACTCCCTCAGCAGATGACATAAACCACAAAGACTTCTCTATCAGTGTATAGAGAGCCACCTGTTTCCTTCACTGCACCAGTTCAGTGTTGCATCGGTGCCCTCTTCTGTTCATCCCGCATCCTTCGTGCCGCTGCAGAGAAAACTCGGTGCCTGTTGGAAGGTAGAGGAGGGGAAAACAAAAGACTCCGTCACATTTTGCCTTCACAGTGAGAAGGAGGGACAAAAGCTTGACCCCACATTCTTCGCTCTGATCATTTCTCCGCTGAACGACACCACCTATCTGCTGTATTTCCCGTTGCACACGTTTACTCAGCTAATTTGCAGTTTAAATCAGCAGTGCTCTCATTATGAGCCTGCTTATGTTCACCTCAAGGCTGCAGACGAGGATCAGTGTCAGCCTGCTGTTGTAAAATGTTGATCCTCCAGGCTGCAGAGAGCAAGTATAAACAGCCACTTTGATGTGTCGCATGCTCAATTTGAAGCTTGTAAACATCATTTTCTTAATGATAATAAATTTCCAATAAGTGAAATAACCCTTAGCCTGAGCGCGAGAGATGGAGGCAATATGAATAAATAAAACAGATGAGATTTCTAGTAATCAACATCATCCCGACTGTGAGCATTTGCTCCCATATTCTGCCAAATGCTTGTACGCAATCTAAAAATTATGTTTGAGATATTACTATTCTGGATATTAATGCATAATTTAGTACTGTCTTCATCTCTGTGGTGTTTATGCTGAGCTTCCTGAAGGTCATTTGGCCAATTTTGAAGCAGCTGGGCTCACATCTAAGTTTTTCCTTTTCTACAACCTTCTGTGGAAGGTGTAAATGAGCAGAAACCCAGAGCCAATAATAACTTTCACATTCATTTCCAGGCTATTTTATTTCTCCAAGTACTGTGAATTGGCCCAAGGCTGCAAATTATGGAAGTGATATTTTCCAAGAAATGCCTTCTTTGCAAAAGATTTTCACTATTAAGATTCAATCAGTCTTTTTTGGGTGTCCCCCTCCTCACAGTAAATTTGTGTGCAAGCATAAAAATCAGCACTAATTGTCTTTAAAGACCATCGTGTGAATTTGGCTCTCCTGCTGATTTAAAAACCTGCTGCAGTGCTTTGTGACATTTCTGGCATATTTAAAACATTATTTTCAGCACATTTTGAACCCGTGTGGTCGTTTTTGACTGACTCCCATCAGACCTGATCTGAGTCAGTTCACTTCTTAGTACTGGCATTGTATTAAAATTGAGTCTGAATGGCTAAAATAATTATGTTCATCTCCTTCTGAGGCAGCGTTGAGCTCATCTTTAGGGTGAGGCTCTAAGACATCCAGCGGGATCTCACCTGGGTATCTTTCCTTTAGAGATTATCAGTGCACACCTAACTGAAAGGAAATTATAAGCAAGACCCAGAAACCAGAGAGCTTATACTTTATGTCTCATCTGGCCTGAGATCTCCTTGGGATCCTCTGGAGGATCAGAAAAGCATTGCTAGGTGGAAGAAAACATGACGGTAACACAGTAATAAATCGAGCCAAACAGCTACTGAAACATGAACTGATTGAAACATAAAAAACAATTGGTAGACATGAATGAACTGATGAAGAAGCATTAATAGAAGCACTAATACTAAAAACCCCAAACAGAGAAATAAATTTAGACTAATGTGGCTTTTTTTCTTTGTAGCCGATATCAATCTGGGTCTGATCCGGTACGTGCTTCATCAGGAGAACGTCCAGGAAACCATGGACAACTTCAAGTTCCTGGTCAAAGACAGCAAACCAAATGTGGTCAGTGACAATGTCTTCCACATCCAGTGGTCCCTCATCAGCTTTGAGCACAAAAGGTCTGCACCATTTCAAAGAAATATACATATTTTATAACGATTACCCGTTGGACACCCACCCTTTTAACTTCCTACTTCTTCTAATGGCACCACAGCTACAATGTGAGTGAGAAGGCCGGCACAGTGGCGGTGACCGTGAAGCGAACCGGTAATCTCAACCAGTACGCCATCGTGCTCTGCCGCACTGAACAGGGCAGCGCCACCTCCACGAGCAGCGTCGGATCCAGACCTGGACAGCAGGACTACGTGGAATATGCTGGGCAGGTAGAAACTCGATATTCCACGTTTAAAAAATGAACATTTCTCTTTTAATTGATTTTATTTCTCTCCTGTGAGTTTGTGTTCTTCATTTAGTCTGGAAACCAGTAAATGCTGCTAAAATCTTATTTATCTTTGTAACAACAAAATAATCCAAGGTTAGGTCTTACTTTCCTGTTCATGAACTTGTGGACCACAGCATCAAGCATAAAAACAGATCCACAGCTTCGAGCAGTTTTTGACCTTAACATCTTGGGAGTAACGTGAACCTGGAATCTTTTTGCATTTTCATCAGTTTTAAGTGGAGTGCAACAGGAACGTAATGTTTGTACTACAAACATCCTATTTCAGAGGAAGAAAATCAGTGGTCCTAATATGGAACCCTGAGGTACTCCTTTGTGTACATGGAGGTTTGAGGAGGAAAAAGATTCAGTAAAGTGGGCACACTTTTGCTTTACTTGACATTCAGTGACGTGTATCATCTATAACTAGCCTATGTTAAGTTAAGGTTTTGTAATCACTTCTTTAATGCCTCCTTCTCATTGTTTTCCAGGTGCAGTTTGATGAGCGTGAGGACACAAAGGTGTGCACTATAGTCATTAACGACGACAAGGTGTTTGAGGGGATCGAGAGCTTCCATGTGGAGCTCAGCATGCCCGTGTACGCGCTGCTGGGTGGAAACACGCGCGCTGTCGTCAACATCAACGACACAGAAGACGAACCCACTTTGCAGTTTGACAAGAAGATTTACCACGTCAATGAAAGCTCAGGCTTAATCCATGCTCCCATTGAAAGGAAAGGTACACACTGCAGAGGAGTTTCTAACATTTCATGTTCCACGAATGTTTCATAAGAATTTTCTCATAATTTCTTTCTTTTCATTTTCACTTTAGTTCCTGCACACACTGTGTGACCTTGTTGTCTCTCTTCATTTCTGCTCAGGTGATACCTCCAGCACAGTCTCTGCTCTCTGCTACACCGTAGCCAAGTCAGCACAGGGCAGCAGCCTCCACGCTCTGGAGTCCGGCTCTGACTACAAGAGCCGCGGCATGACCACCGACAACCGAGTGATCTTCGGTCCTGGAGTCAGCATGTCCACCTGTGATGTTAAGCTCATCGATGACAGCGAGTACGAACTGTCCGAGGAGTTCGAGCTGGTGCTTTCAGACGCCTCCGATAACGCACGCATGGGCGACGTGTCGGTGGCCAAGGTCATTATTGATGGACCCAACGATGCATCGACTGTTTCTCTTGGAAACGCCACGTTTACTTTCAGCGAAGATGCTGGTATGAGCCTTTTTCGTGCATCCACCAGCGTAATGTCTTTATGAATTCATATTTCTTATTGCGTAATTAAATTAAATTAAAGTTAAAAAAATTAAATGTTTCAAACGGCTAATAGCTTCCGATAAAAAACTAGTGCACTGGTAGCTAGCACTTCACAATAATCATTAGCAATGAATGATAGATTAGTAGTTAATTAAACTTTAGTTACACATATTTATTATTAGCATTCTAACTAGTAGTAATCATTTTTTTGACTCTATAAATGATCTATAAACAAACATTAATGTTAGTATGATAGATATTTTAAGAGTGTAAGAGTTGGCACTTGGGTTGGCATAAAACCTGTGAACCCACTCACTGCGTAGTTTCACTTTCATCACAAATAATAACAAATAAAAAACCCAACTAGGCTTCAAGGAAACTTAAAGAAGTCCAGACGCTTTTCTTTCCAAGCCCCTTAGACTACGATGACCTGGATGACTGAGAACCTTCACAGACAAACTTTTATCACGTGTGAATGTTGGAGATGATCACTGCTCCACTCTCCAGAAACACTGAGAGGTTATGCAGCCAAAATGGAAGCTAGTGCCCGAGTTGAAAATTAAGCAAATAAATATAAAGTACAGGTGTAACTAGTTAAAAACAGCACAAAGCCAAAGTACATTTAAAACAACACAGTCAAGGTACAGTCTAAATAATACAGACTGACAGAGTGGCATGGCAGCTCAAAGCAGCTCTGAATAATAAGCTCTGCTTTGCTGCTCATTTTAAGCTGGTGGTGTGATTGATGGTGCGGCTTGATTGAAGCAGGGACTGGTGTACCAGAACAATCAAGCACAGTGACAGTCTGGGAGCTGGGAGCTGGAAGAGATGGCAGAAAGCGGAAGTAGAAGCTCCAGTCCTGGACAGGGCCTAAACAGGCTACGAAACACAAGCAGATATAAAATAGAAGAGAGAAGGCCACTTTAGGATCATGTTAGGACTTAGTGGAAGACTGGTGTCACTGGTTTCACTGGTAATCCATCTGCATATCCTGGCAGCAGCTTTAAATGAAGCCTTTGAAACCTTAATCAAACAACAATAACGTCTAAGGTCATCGTTAAGAAATACATAATGTAAAATATAAAATGTTATATGCAATGTCATCAGAACATAATTTTTATCATCAGTACGTCATGAATAATTTATAAAATAATTATTTGATACACATTTATTACCATACATTATAATATTAGGTGTTTGTACACATGACAGTATTTACAATGATTTAATATTTTAAAAAATTACATAATTTATAAGTAATGGTTATATTTTCTTTATTACTTTTTTATATGAGTTGTTTGAAGTGATGCCTATTCTTATAGCTCTCCATTAGGAATTTAGGGCATTTCCAATAGTTGTTAGAAAGTAGTCTTTGTATGGGAGGTTTCATAATGGATACATTTAATGATATTAGTGTAACCAGTTTACGTGCATCATGTTTTGTGGAAACATTTCTCATCGTCAGTTAGATCACTGCACTCTGTGATATTTTACTTGTTTCATTTATTTAGGAACATTGGACGTGTTTTGGAGCATGACACAGAATAGATTGTTTCCTCTCTTATAATTAGCATCACTGACAGCTACACTGCGCCTCATCTTTCTGCTGAACTTCTTCCACTTCTTTCTTTTTCTCCTTCTTCTCGCTGGCGTAGCTTTGATCTTTGATACAAAGGTATCTTCCCCACAGTGTTGAACAGACAGTATTATTAGTTGCAGCTAAAAGAAGCTGCGAGATTCAGTTTCTGTGTCACTTTGTTCTTAGATCAGGATTTAAATTACTTTCTATGTAAAGATCAAAACAACTTTGTAAATTAGAGTTATTAATATCTTATAACCCCTCAAACACACAGCAACTTCCCACATTTCACATTTTTTTACCTTGCATTTCACTTTTCCCTCTCTCAGGCACAATTGAAATACCAGTGCTGCGTCATGGCAGCGACCTGTCCTCGCTGACCTCTGTGTGGTGCGCCACCCGACCTTCAGACCCTCCGTCAGCCAGCCCCGGGGTCGACTACATTCCCAGCTCCAAGAAAGTGGAATTCAAACCTGGAAAAACTGACGAGGTAAGGACAGAGAACCCAGCACAGATGTCACAGTTATGTTATCGTCCCAAACAAAAACACTTGAGCCAGCTGTGCAATGGGCTATCATATAATTGATAAACAGGATGGAGGACAGTCGGGGATGCTGGGTTAAAAAAGCAGCTTGTAGACTGTGAGCAGATAAAACAGCTTGAACTGGATACGCTGTATGAAGTTTTGCCTCTGGGATGCGTAGAACGGTGTCAGCACTTGTACACAGCTGGATCTGAGTTAATTCTTCAACACTGACATCTTTACATACAGTAGATGAACATTTTTTTTATAACATCATCAGCCGAGCTCACCAAGTTTCTACTGCAGCTACCAGGAAGGTGTTTTTATTCCTCGATAAATAACAGATTCACCCGTATAACCCTTGCAAATCATTTGATCTGACCTCCCTTTTTTAAACAGACGTGCAGTTTAACCATCATGGATGACATCCAGAACCCGTCCATCGAGGGGTCTGAGTCCTTCGTGGTGTTCCTCAGTTCTCCTCAGGGTGCTGTCCTCCAAGAGCCCTATGAAGCCAACGTCATCATCGCGGACACGTTCCAGGACAGTACGTCCTCACAGAACAATCGCAGGCTTTAATACACGTGTGTCATGTCAAACACCCTTCATTGACCAGATGTTGCTCGCTCTCTCTCAGTTCCTAACATGCAGTTTGAGAAGAGCTCCTACACCGCGAAGGAGAAGGATAACCTTCTCCACATCCCCATCATCCGGACCGGCGACCTCTCCTTCAAGTCATCGGTGCGCTGTTTCACCCGGACCATGTCCGCCATGGTGATGGACGACTTTGAGGAGAGAAGGAATGCAGATGAGTCGCGCATCACTTTCCTCAAAGGAGAGAAGGTAAAATGTTGAGTCAAAATGTGACCTGATGTTTGTGTCCTTGTTCTCAGACTCTGCTCATCAGGGTGCTTCGATTGTGCATTTTCCAGGTGAAAAACTGCACAGTTCACATCATTGACGACTCAGTGTTCGAGCCTGAGGAGGAGTTTCAGGTGCATCTCGGTACACCGCTCAGTGACCACTGGAGCGGCGCCATGGTGGGAGCCAATGATATTGTCACTGTAACCATCACCAATGATGAAGATGGTAAGCTGGCGCTTGATCGCCATGTGATTCACATTAAACAGGATTTACTGATATGCTGTCAGAGAATAATGATCGTTTTATATCATAAAAAGAGCTACATATATACATTTTACATCCTTTATCTGATACTAACATGAAAGAAGCTGAGGACTTTTATTTTGAAAAAACATTCCCACTTTTTTTTTTTTTTTTGGGGGGGGAATATTGAAATGGTTCCTGAACAAAACTCTCAAAACTAAGTTGTGAATTACTGGGTGATGGGTTTATTTAGATTTAATAACCAATGAAAACGTCGTCACCATTCCTTTTGTTTCCTGTTGACTGCATATTTGAGGTATATCATAGTCTACTTGCATTTTTTGAACTATGCGTCACTAATTTTTTCGAGTGTGTGACCCCTCAGCCTAATTGCTGATGTTAGAATAACTGAAGCCTGGTATGGATAAAATATCCTGAGTATGTTGAACTTGCTCCTGATTTCCAAACTAATTTTAAGATAATGTTCCTCGTTTTTACTTTTGGTCAACTTCTTTTTTTTGTGTGTCCCGTTTGGATCTTTAGCCATCAGAATTGTTGTCTTAAGACCAAGAAAGATGCCGAGCGGATTTATTTTACCAAGTGGATCATCATGGCCTTGCCATATTGGTCCATTTGATTGACCTTTATTATAATTATGAATTTATTTTATTTTCAGTTGCTACAAACGGGACAGACATGACTGGGGGATAGGACAGGGAGAAAGAATGAAAGAAAGAGAGGGAGAGAAAGAAAACCAGAGGGGAGAAGAGACGGTGAGAAAGGGGGGGGGAAAGAAAGAAAAACAAACAAAACACCTGGATCACCTGTATGGAGAAAAAAAAAACAGAAGAGAAAGCAAACAAAAAGGAGCAACATAATAAAAAACAGCACCATCACAATAAACTAGCTAGCAGTAGATAACAGTAGATACTAAATATTAAACGATATTGTGCAGCACGCAAGATAGACAGCACACAATGTGCTTTGAGGCAGCAGCCAAGAAAGCTGTAGTCCGCGTCTGTGAACACCCGTGTGTACACCTGTGTGGATCAGCATGCTTGTATTCCAAAGGTCAACTTTTGGTCAACTTCAACAAATAATGTTTAAAAATCCTCCCGAAGCACAGATGTATGTGACACGAACTGATTCCCTGACAGGCTCATTTTTAATTATCGCCTGGTGCCTGATGTTTGTATTTATTTATTTCCATCAAAAAAAAAAGAAAACGAGTAAAACCTTAATGGAGGTGGGTTTTATTATACCGCTGTTCTATAAGTTTTAATTGGATGCACCTGTTATTTTGGAAGCTGATTAAAAGTTTTATATGTGCAAATGATTGACAGTCAGACTTCTCCCGTTCCTCCAGCTCCCACCATTGAGTTCGAGCAGGCGTCCTTTCAGGTGAGAGAGCCTCCCGGTCCAGATGGCATCGAAGTGCTCAACATCAAAGTGATCCGCAGAGGAGATCTGGACCGAACGTCCAAGATCCGTTGCAGCACCCGGGATGGATCGGCCCAATCTGGAGTCGACTACAATCCCAAGAGTCGTGTACTTAAATTCACCCCGGGTAAGTGCTGAAAATGCTCCTTGTTGGGACTTGGGAAGAGTGTTAGTGGGATGATTTTACTGGGAGTAAATATGTTTGTTTTTTTCTCCATAGGCATGGACCACATCCTCTTTAAAGTGGAGATTTTGTCCAATGAGGACAGAGAGTGGCACGAGTCCTTCTCATTGGTCCTTGGGCCTGATGACCCAGTGGAGGCAGTGCTTGGGGAGATCACAATGGCCACAGTGACCATTCTGGATCAGGAGGCGGCAGGAAGTCTCATCCTACCTGCCACGCCTATTGTAAGGAACCTTGGAGGAAACATGAAGCAGGAGCAGTAGAATAGAAGAAGTGGAGGATATGTTCAGCCTTTAGGAGAACTTTAGCATTCAGCTGAGAACTTAATCTTTTGTCTATTTTCTGCAGCACTTAGAGAACCTGTCACTTGAAACGTCTCCACTCCTGGCAAAAGCACATCTCTCCCCTAATACATATTCAGAGAACTCCAAAAAAGCAGCAGCAAACGTGGGCAGCATTTTCCCTCAGGCACTTGTTTATAGGCTTTTACATTTCTTATGCATTTACCAGAACCACTTGCAATGAATATATCTATTCAGCTGCCATTAAAATATTATATGGTGGGTGATTTTACCCCAAACGACTTTTTAGGAGGAATCTCATCTCATACTGTGTTTTGTACGCCAGCCCCTTGAAATGTAAAAGCTGAACTCCTCTCATTTACACGATCTCCCACCCTCCTTCCTGCTCAGGTGGTCTCTCTCGCTGACTACGATCATGTCCAGGAGGTGATCAAAGAGGGCAGCAAGAAGACTCCCTCTCCAGGTTACCCTCTGGTGTGTGTCACCCCCTGTGACCCTCATTACCCCAAGTACTCTGTGATGAAGGAGCGCTGTGAGGAGGCGGGAATCAACCAGACCCAAGTTCACTTCTCGTGGGAAGTGGCGGCTCCCACTGACACCAGCGGCGCCCGATCCCCCTTTGAGACGGTCACAGATACAACCCCGTATACTAGCGTCAACCATATGGTGAGTTAAACTAAGGAGTCAAATAAATCTGAAATTAAGAGGCGAATACATTAGGTTGTTATTTAATAGGATTTATTGGCAGTAAGACAATAAAATTATGTTTAAAATTTTCCCCTGTGTGTGGAAACTCTCACGTCTCTCAGGTTCTGGACAGCATTTATTTCAGCCGGCGCTTCCACGTTCGCTGCGTGGCTCAGGCCAGAGACAAAGCTGGACACCTGGGAACACCGCTGAGGAGCAACATCGCCACCATCGGCACAGAGGGCTCCATCTGCCACACACCCGTCACCACGGGCACCGCCAGAGGCTTCCAGGCTCAATCCTTCATCGCCACACTCAAATACTTAGACGTCAAGCACAAAGAGCACCCCAACCGGTCCGTAGCGGCTTTTTAAACCAGACAAGCATCTTCACCAAGAGTTTATGCTAATTTCTGCTCTTCTCTGTATGTCCCGGTTTAGGATCCACATCTCAGTCCAGATCCCCCATCAGGATGGAATGCTCCCCCTGGTTTCCACCATGCCGCTGCACAACCTTCACTTCCTGCTGTCAGAGTCGATCTACAGGCAGCAGCACGTCTGCTCCAACCTGGTCACCCTCAAAGACCTTCAGGGGATCGCCGGTCAGTCACACAAACACAGACCTCCTCACAGCTGGAAATTTCATCTTCAGGAGGCTGCAGTGTGATTAGATCCACATTTGAACCATTTACAGTATCTAGGGCTCACGTTTGAATTACCACCATATTAAAATTCTTTAATTTTCTGCTGCAGTCAGCTTCATCTTCTCGTGGTTTAATATTTTACAGGCAGCCAATTTTAATCAATGCTTGCAAGATTTCCTGATCGATTTAAAAAATTATTATTAAACCAGACGTGTAGTTTTCTAACTTTTCTTTGACAACACTCTTCCTCAGAGTCGGGCTTCCTCGATGATGTATCGTATGACAGCATCTCTCTGGGGCCCGGCTACGACCGCCCCTACCAGTTCAACCCCAACGTCCGCGAGGGCAAGAGCCTCCAGTTCTATAAGCACCTCAACCTGAAGAGCTGCATCTGGACCTTCGATGCCTACTACGACATGACAGAACTCATCGACGTGTGCGGGGGCTCAGTCACCGCGGACTTCCAGGTGCGTAGGACGCTCAAAGGCAGAGCTTTTAAAACAGTCGCTCTTCACAATGTTTTCAGTCTTCTTGATAAATTGAATCAGTTGTTATGGAAGAGTTATTTATGTGTGCAAAAACAAAAATATTTGATTTTAAAAATCAATTATAAAACTCAGTGGCAGCAAAGGTGAAGAAGGTGAAATGGGGGAGATAGAGGGGAAAAAAGGTTACTCATAAAGGAATCTAAAAGCATAACACAAAAACAAGAAGAGTACAAGAAGACCGCTGGGAGCAGAAAACAGATGTCTTGACTAAGGAAAGACAAAACTATCCCCAGACTGCACATCATCGACTTCTCTCCTCACGTCTTAGTCCCTCCCTCCAGAGACCCAAGTGAAGGAGGCGAGCAAGCGATACGAGGAGAGAATGCAACGTGCATTTACTTGTTGATTAGGAGCTTCATTTTCAGTAACCTATGACATTTCACACAGCTGCCAGTGCAGCTGTAGTTTGGTTTTTATATTTAAATGGAAAAACACCCCTGCAGAGGACACACCTGTGCATTCTTGATCGTTTAAACCCATATCATTCTCAATAAAACATAGAAAACACATCGCATGTTTAAATTGACACATTTCACTATGTTATGGAAATCTTTAGCTCATTTTGATTTTGATGTCAGCAACACACCTCGAAAAAGTTGAGACAGGAGCAACAGAAGGCTGGGAAGTGATTTTGGTTTGCTGGCAACATGTCAGTAACAGACTGGGTGTAAAAAGAACATCACAGGACGTTTCTAATGAGTAAAGATGGGCAGAGGTTCAACAATCTGCAAGAAAAACCTCCCAAAAAACTGTGGAACAATTTTCATAATTTCCTCAATATAAAACTGCAAGCACATTGAATATCATCATCTACAGTTCATACTATTAAAAGATTTAAAGAAGTCTCTGTGTGCACAAATGCAGGTTAAAGCACTTCGATGGGTTTATATTTCTCCTCAGCCCTCAACGTCGGACTGATTGATTTTCAGGTTACAGGCGGGAGAACAGAGGAGATGAGGAGGCACAGATAAAGGCATTTGACATGAGAAAGGTCTAAAATATGCACAGGAGTGATTGCAGGATAGGGTACATGTAGACAGCCCCAGAACCTGGGACCGTGACTGTGTTGGGATGTGGACGTCCATCATGTAATCATAGTGCATCTATTTGATGGTGAAATAATGCTCTGTACTGTGTGTAAAGTCCTCACAAACAGAAGAAAGTTCTCTGTGACCCTCTGAGAGAATTAACATTAAAGGCTGCTGCTATTCTTCCAGGTTCGGGACTCTGCTCAGTCCTTCCTGACGGTGCAGGTTCCTCTCTATGTCTCCTACATCTACGTCACAGCCCCGAGAGGCTGGGCGTCTCTGGAGCATCACACCGAGATGGAGTTCTCTTTCTTCTATGACACCGTGCTCTGGAGGACAGGTCAGGAGTTTATGTCTATGAACTCTGCACACCTTATTATTGTCCACAGTCCTGGATGTAAACATATAGCGGGATGTGTTTTGGTTTCACATTGTAGTTTTGCTTTCATTGTGCAGGGTAACAATGTTTATTTCCTTTCTGAAAAATGGGATAAGGATGAAAATGCAGTGTAGAAATAAATCATTTAAGATCCATTTTTGGAATGGAGGGATTTGACTGTTTCAAAGTATCCAAGTTCTTATTCAAGAAATTATTAGTGATGTACTTCTGCTCTAATTTAGGTTTTCTTTGGCTGGCTTTTCATGTCTGCAGGTATCCAGACTGACAGCGTCCTCTCAGCCAGACTGCAGATCATCAGGATCTATATCAGGGAAGACGGTCGGCTGGTAATTGAGTTTAAAACTCACGCCAAATTCAGAGGTCAGTCCACAAACACACGTTCTAAGAGCACTGCATAGAATTATTATGTCTGCCTTAATATTGTTATTGATACAAGAAATGGAAGCTAATGAGAGAGCAGTCTGTGATCGAGGTAAATCAATGTAAATCCATCTTTTATTACAGCAATATATGAGGAGGCCACAGAGAGAGGAAATTAAACTGACAATTTAAGGTTTTCAGTTTTATCCCACAGTTCTACACAGTTCTAGCCTTTATGGTCAAACATTTGTTATTTTTAAATTTAGCTTCAGGTTTTCGCTGTGCCCTATTGCCAGTCTTGGCAGCCGGGGGTCAGGCCGACAGGGCCTCCGCTCCTGGCCGCCACCCGGCACACAATGCACCCGACCCCTATGGCGCCTCCTGCGGGTGGTGGGCCTGCGGGAGGATGGGCCCATGTCTCCTCTTCGGGCTGTGCCCGGCCGGACCCCATGGACTAAGGCCCGGCCACCAGTCGAACCTCGGATACAGGAGGAACAATGCGGTTTTCGTCCTGGTCGCGGAACACTGGACCAGCTCTTTATCCTCTCCAGGATACTTGAGGGTG